TTTCCACCAATTCTATCTGCTCAGTAAAGCAGCATCAGAAAGCAGGGAGAGAGAGCAGTGCTTCATTGGAATGCCCATACTGATGGAAAGGAACACGTTTCTGCACAGACATCAGATGTTTCAAGGAGAAGTTCTGTTAGTACACACTTCAGCTGGCAGACAAACCCATTATAGTCATATGGCTAAGGCTGGCAGTTGGATACAGCATGGCCCAGGCACACAGAGATTAAAGTCAAAACCAAGCACACTCCCCATTTCATCTCTGTTCTTTCTGTACTTCATGACAAAGCAGCAAACTGCTTCATCCATCTCCTGACTGAGATGCTGCATTAGGACTCACCATGGGGAGAATAGACTCGAAGATTGATGGGCACAGGGGAAATCCCTTTGTTGGAGCCAGTAACACGATCCGTTTCAGCCTCAATCTCCAAACGGACCTCCTCAAAATCAGTGAATTTCTTTCCTTTGCAGTGTAGGAACTCACCATATTCTATTTATACAGAAGCAGAGTCAGAAATAGTCACTGAAATCAGAGAAATACTCAATAAATCTTTAAAACTTCAGGAACCAAAACAAAAAATTTGAAGGGATGAAGTCTGGGAAGTGCCTTTCCCACTAGGACTTGGCAGGTTGGCATAGAAGTTTCTGCAGTCACATTATCTGAGCAACATCTGAAAGAATTTAGTTGAAACAAACATCTTCACGGCCCAGCTTTTGTCTCAGCACAAGTAGCATCCTCACTTGTCTTCATTCAAGCAATAATCAGGGACTTTCTCTGTTGATACTAGGCAAACTTAGCATGCACCTGCCTGCAGCAGCAGTGCCTTCCACAGCTACTCTGGGACATACCTTGGTACTCAGGAGAACTTGGACTAGCTCTGTATTAAAGTGCAGGGGGTAACTACCAGTGTCATTAGACAATGAGAACAGATTCAAGAGAGTCTCAAGAGGGAAAAAAAAAAAATCTTCTCTTGGCATGGTTTTGAACTGGCTGGTGGTTGGGGTTTTGTGTGTCAGAGGGTTCTTGGGATGGGTAGCATGTTCAAGGACTGCTTCTATTTTAAAAGCCTCCTGAAAGTTAAATTGTCTCCTTACTGAAGGCAAGAGGACTGCTGTGAATAGATAAAGTTCACCTGACAAGAGAGGAAGAGTACCTTGAAACATTCACTTGGCAACTCCTGGATGAGAACTTAGGTTAAGGGGAATGGTAATGAAAATATCCTGCAAGTAAATAGCAAAACCAGTGAACTACCCAAAGGACAAGCCAGGGAACTCTGTAGTATTTCTTCTCCAGATTCCAGTGCTCTCACACTGGATTTTCAGTACATTAAATCATCTTGCTTCCTTATTTCAGTAGATTATCAGCAGAACCATCTTGCTTTTAAGTCTTACCCACTCATAAAAGTCACAGCTGCATAGGCAAAAGAAAATTGTGCTAAGTACACATGGAGCCTTGCCTAATAAACTAATCAAAAAACTAAGCAGCATTTTGCTTCTGAACACTGTTAAACACATAGAACTGAAAATCAGCTGCAGGTCAGTTTTACAGGGGAAAACTTACTTTTTTCTCACATTGAGAGGTGTCACTGATCAAATAAGACCTTTCTTGACTAAGGCAGTGACCCAGCTGGACACAGAGAAGATAGCTCACATACCTGTGCTGGCATTTACCAGCTGCAGGACCAGCGGGCGCCTGGTTACGATGCCAGATCCACGTGGCAGAAAGTCCCTGAAACAAAACAGGAAGTTTCAGATTAGTGAATGATTGTTTCCTTCCCTTTTCACAGCTTTTCTGCTTCTATAAGCATAGATGGATTCTCACAGGGAGTGTCAGCCATGGGCACAAAAAGTTTAAGGCACTAAAAACCAGGTGCTCCTCCTTCAGGAGGATAAGAGCTTGCTCTGAAACAAAAAATACCTGTCCTCACAGCACACCCCTCTAGCCCTGTAACAGCTACAGCTCCTTCAGCTGAACTTCCAAGCTGACTAACAATCCCACTTAATACAGCTGTCTGTACTTTGGAAAAAAAATTAATCTCTTTCATCAGAAAGAAAAGAAGCTGAAGCAGAACCTGAAAACAAGCATGCTCCTTTTGACAAAATAAAATGACTCTCACTACCAAGTCACTCACAACCTGCACTTTGGAGCTTGAGAAGACACCACATTGTTCCAGCATGCAAACACCATATGATACATCCGAATGAATGAACAAACAGCAGCCAAAGGCTTGCCTCCAACTCAGGGTTTCTCCTAACTACTCAAGAGATGAGTATTGCCAAGGCAAAAGCAGCAGCAGCTTCCTTCTATAATCACAAGAATCCTGAATTCTTGTGCACTTCATTTCAAAGGAAGGAAGCCTTTCACTGTCCTCCAAATGCTGACTTTGCAGCCACAAGCCCACAAGTTCTCCTTTGCTTTTTCTTTTTCCAAATCCAAGTGCTCAGAGCTAAGCCAGGCATGCTTCACTGCATCTGCCCATGACCTTGCTAGTCTGTGGCCTGGTTTTCAGCTGTTCATGTGGCTCTTCAAGAGCCACTGAGCATTTCTGAAAATATGATTCCTCCCTTGCCTAGTGGGAGAAGCATCACTTCAAAACATGGTTCCTACAGCATGAACAGTTTCCTTTGTTAAAAGAAACCCTACCTACACCACTGGGCTTCTGGCACACATTCCTCCCTCCCTTAATAGCTGTGGCAATGAATAATTTTGCTAAATCAGTAGTGAATAACTACTCTGGTGAATGAGAAACCCAGGACTCTCCATTGAAACATCCTGCTCTTAGCCCTGCATGAGCTTAACACTGACAAAAGTAGTGAAGATGAGGAATGAGCTTTTTTTTTAACATTATCAGACCAGGACTCAAGAAGTTTTCTTTAAACTCCTGGTTTGGCCACTGATTTCCTGTGTAATCCCATGCAAGATCTTCTGCTTCTCTACATTTCTCTTTCTTCAGCTATAAAAGTAAATCTCCACCTGCAGGGCTCTGAGAATAACTGATCACAAAAAACTGCAGAGTGGTTTCAGGTGAAGGGAAGGTAAGGAGGCATCCTACAGTCTCTAACACCTGAAAATATTTCCTATGAGTTACTAGGTTTGGAGTAATGGAACCTCTGGTACAACTCTACCAGTTAAAATAAGACCATTTTCATTATTTCAGACTTTCCAGAAGTACAAAGAGTTAATCAGGATTTGCCTTTCATTTGTTTTGCAAATAATACAGCTCTAGTGTTTCCATTCCAGCAGGATTAACCCTGGAATCTTTGAGGCACTGCATCATTCTAGCAGCTTTCTGCTGTCTCAGCTCCATTCCTATAGATGTCTGTGGTCAGTAAGTGAAAAAGTCCTACCCTAGCATCAGTTGCTCGTTTCACAAATCCATGAGCTGCACTGACTTCATCTGAACTTTCTGTACCTGAGGAAAAGGGACCCTATTACTACAGATTTCTAGCACAAGAGACAACACTCTAGTTCTTGACCTCCAGCTTGCCATATTGAGTCCTGCTCTCCTGAAAGAAAAGCACCAGTTGCCTTGGCAAGCATGAGCTCTCTAGGAAATAAGATTCCACTCATGTTGTGCCCCATGTTTTTCTTGCTTTAGCCAAAATCCCTGTTTCTCTGCTGTCCTTGTCACACCTACTACAGTAAAAAATCAGGATAACGGGAGACAGATAATTTATGTGGCATCAGGGTTCCAGCATTATAAAAAAAGGATACTATTTACTTTGTTAACTGAAGTGGCTCCCAGGCTATTCCAAGTTAAAAACACTGAGTCCTCATAGAAGGCAAGATGACAAATCCATCAGCCAGTTAGTCACCTGAACAACAATCTTACTGCTGCTTTAGTTCTGAGTGATAATATCTACAATCTGACCCCAATACCAGAGGATGGATTTGTGTTCTTTTCCACAAACTATTGGGAGGCACATGCAGTTCAACTTTTCATCTCTACACTCAACTCCTATTAGGAGTTATAGCCAAAAAACTCTATAAAGAAAGCCCACAGCTGATTCAGTATTACCCCATTGTACCCATACTATTTATTTTTTTCACTACATTTCTCTCTACAGTCTCTTGAACAAACTCCTTCCTCTTTCTGCTCCAACTAAGCCTCTCAAATCATAGACACTAAAAAGTACAGATTAGTAAATTGTGGCAAGCTGGCTGGATGCCAAAGAGAAGGCACCATACAGGAGTCTTGCCTGCCCTCTTGCAGCGGGCATAATAAATTGCTTCTGTAAATAAACTACAATAACAGAGCACATGTGGCTTGGACACCACAACCAGCACAGTTTGAGTTCACTTAGGAGCCAGAGGAAAGATGTACACACACCCCTATTGCTCCAACAAGAGCAGCACAAAGTGATGAAATGAAGTCAGAATCAGGGAAATGATACATGAGGTAAGAACAACCACATTCCAGGTGATTTGTGCAGACAAGAGCAGAAGGGTCAGAACAAACTAGCTTATTCAATTCCAGCACAGGAGATGTACAGTAGTAAGGCTGGGGGAGGAAACAAAGATGGAACAATTCTTCAGAGATAACATGCAATAAGGCTCCAAGTGCTGGAACAAGGGCAGCAGGGATTCCACTTGTCTTACAAGTCAGCCTCTAGCATGACATCAAAAGCAGCCTCATTATACACATCTCCACACAAAACTTTCTGCCTGAAATACATATTCAATCAGGTTGAGGGCACCAACCCTGTTTCCTCCTCCACTTCACGTAAGAACTGAAAATTACTTCTTTGTTGCTTTGTAGGATGCAGAAGTGGCATGACAACATTTGATTTCCTGTGCTTTTAAGCAGGAGTACCACACTGCCACTTCTTCAGGCCAGGCTTCATCCCAGAAAACACAGCAAAAGAGCAGCTAAAACAGACAGAAGCTGTACTTGGGAAATATAAATGCTTAATTTGCCTGTATCTTTTTTCCTTAGCTGTTGACTTAAGATTCCCTATCAAGATAGCAGAGTATCAGTTTTAGCAATGCAATTCCATGCATTTTTTCCAGAGTTGGAAGACTCAGATAAGCTTGGATCAGTTGCATTTCCCAAACTGTCAGCTATTGGAAGCCTGTTTTATACATTTCACACCTTTTCTTAACTACTGTCAGAGAGAAGATATTGAGCTAGGTAAATTTTTGGTCTGACCAGTGAGAGATCTCTTCTCAACCAATACAACAAACAGAATAAAGGATGCAAACCCTGATGGGTCACAGGCTGAAAAAGTTCAGGCAGCAAAGTGACCTAAAAAGACATTTATTGTTATATTTTGCATTGCTTACTTCTGAAGTGCTTATACATGTTCTCAACCAGCTTCAGAGCAACCTCAGGGCAAACCCAATCACATCATCCCTTCCAATCTTATTTCTATTTTAGTATGCAGAGCTGCATTAAAGTACAGATTTGGGCTGAAAGCTGCATTAGTAGTGCAATAGTAAAAAACAGACATATTTGAGGGATAGAAAACAACACAGCAGTTACTGTAGAGCAACATTTCAACAAAACTCAAACACATCAGAAACATACTAAGGCAACTGATGTCATGCAGGAACACATTTATAATGAGGACACTGGGGACTTGGGGTTTCCCTATCAGTTTTTTAAATTAAAGCCAGATACTCCATACAAAACCCCTCCATGCATTAGGTATCATGGAATCCTACAGAAGAAAAAGGTGCTATTAATGACAGCAAAAGCTCATGTTTGCTTTGTAAACAAGTTTGAGTTCATTTAGTGACTTTAACAGTAGAGAAGATTAGGAGTTAAAGGTAATAGACCAAAGACATTTCCCAACAGACTTATTCAGAGGACACAGGACAAACTGCAAATGCATTTTTACAAGCCCACCTCTCAGCCCAGCAAGTACTCCAATTTAGAACAAAAAGATAGGTAAAAAAATATACACACAATGAAACCCAAGAACATTTGCTAGTTGACAGGACAGGCAGCTAGGACCCCTGGACTATAAAATTAATTTTGTCCCTAGCTTACTGAGCTCTGTGAACAAGTTACTCTTTGTACTGCAGAACTAAAGCGGTTTTGCACCTTCTCCATCCACTGGTAATCTGTATTTCTGAAAAGGCTTTGAGTCAAAGCTTTCTCATGCATGATTTTAGTCTTCACTGAAGTTGCAACAGTCATTGTCAGTCAACAACAGAACCAAGCCCATGGTACCATCTCTTATGCTAAGTGGAAGATGGATCAACTGCTTCTACCACCATTTACCCTCCCTCCCTCCAGGGAAGCTGGAAGGCTTCCAAAGCTGCTTGCAGAGGGCTTTGGAAAACACATCTAGGCCTGGTTTAGATGTACTAACACAGCATCATTGCAGTTTGTTTGTCAGTCCTTTGAGATTCTGGGATTAGAATACAATAGAGAAGGTAAAGTCTCAATTAAAATGCCAGAGCAGCAGCTTATTAAGACATAAAAGTAGTTCTGAATAACAGTGGTGTTCACTCTTCTATTGATAATTTAATTTCAATTTTATTTCTTATTAAACATCTACATAGCAATAGGGTACTAAGGGACATGATTAATACCCAGTTTGGATTATATTAGTTTCAGAAAATTAAGATTCACACAGCCTACACAGTTTCATGTGGTTGTTTCTGAGGTTTTTTTGCAGGCAGTATTTGTTATTTCCTGTGTTCTGTTGGTGCCCAGGGACAGTAACTCAATCAGAACTGACTGCACAAAGCACTGTGTCAATACACAGCAAGAAATACAGTTCCTTCCCCTATGGATTTTACTATCCAGTTATACTGTTCAGACCTGCTCCTGCTCAAGCTTAGAACTA